TCGTCAATTTCTCTCTTCTTGTAAAGTTGTAATTATTTTAATTATTTTTATTTCCAAACTGATTTTAACCAGTTCTATAGTAAGGTAACATTCCAATAGACAATATGCAAAGCTTTTTTTTCAGTTTACAGCAGTATTTATTACACAAAATTTAAGTAAAGCTTAACATGCCGATCTTGCCCCGATCTCCCCTATATTAAAATCCAATCTACAAAATACTAAGCGAAATCATTAGGTTATTATTTTCTGAGTACTTTGAAAGTTGATTTATTTTATTTTTAAACGTTTTCATTAAAACTATTTTCCTATTCAGTTTGTACAGATTATTTACAGATTTTACATTTGATATCAAAAGAATCTTTAATATGCTTTTTCAGTAAAATTATATTTTATTATACTTAAAATATGAAAGCAAATCTAATTTAAAATAAGTTATTAAACAAAATCAGAAATATCCATTTACATTTTATTAAACTGAGTAAGTTTTGGCAGTAGTAAGTAAAAAAACAAATTCAATAATATTTATGATAAGTAGAATGATTAGATAAATTTAAACACTTGATTCTGTATCAATTTTCTGAAGACCCGAGACAGTGTTGAACGAAAAATGCTTCGTTTTATCTGTTTATGTCTCCTGTCAAGCATTCAGGTTAGTTAAAATTAACTTCAATATAACTGTAATTTATAACTTAATAACTTTTTAATTTATACTAATTACTTGATTTTATAGGAACTATTTAACAAAATGTTTTAATGTACTTATCAATTCTAAATTTTTTATATGATACTTTATATATGAACTAAACCAAGTAATGATCTTTTTAATGTTTTAAAAATAATTTTTTAAACATTAAAAACGTCATTACATCGTTTAGATGTACAGTCGACTCCCATATAACCGGTAGATACGTTCCATTTTATAAGAATTTCGCGTTGTAGGAATCCTTAAATACATGAGCCAATCACAGCCCGGCACGTGTGCAGTTTGCGGACTACGGCTATTTGAAAGGTTTTCTTCCATAAAATTAATCGATTCTAGACTAATTTGATTCAACATTTCCAAAACAAATATATATTTTTGGGGGGGAATAATCCGTATAAACTACGTTATAAACAAAAAATTGTAGGATTACTTACCGAGTGTGCACCGATCGACGATGCCATTGCTTAAGCTTGTGTTCGTCGCTGAGCAGCGCACCAAACAGCCGGCGCGTTTTCTGATAAGTTATTTTTCTGCGAAAAACTCGTTGAGCTTTGGAGACATCATTAATACAAATAATTTTTATTTCCGTTGAAAAAGTTTTTTTTTTTCACAAGAAACGTATAAAATTACAGTACTGTATTAGACTTACAGTACCTAATTTATATACTGTACAGACGATAGTAAACTCAACTTAACCTCCTAAACTTACCCGTCCACTATTGGTCCAGATTCGACCAATCCTGTCGCGACACGAGTCGGCGATGACGTATTGCCGCATTTTACGAGTCTCTATTAGTGTCTTTATACGAATACGGGCGCAATTTTTTCGCCGCAATATACGAATCCGCATTATATGAATCCGCGTTATAGGGAGGTCTACTGTATGTATAAACTATAAAGTAATCTTTACATTTTTATCTTTCTTAAAACAGATTTAAACTTATATTATTTAAGTACTATTTAGCTTTTTAACTTAAGTAAATACTGTTTNTGATGTTGTTTATGCTTAGTAAGTATTGTTCTTGTTTTCCTTTGGAGTTGCTCGAGATCTGTGTGAGTCCAATGTATAACTCCAAAAGAGTATGTGAGTACTGGGTTGACATATGTGTTTATTGCTTTAACTGTGTGTTTTGCATTTAGCCGTGTTTTGAGAATGGCATTTAACCTACTTTGGTATTATTTAATTAATCTTTGTTTTATTTGTGTATGTTCTGTTAGTTTGGCCTGCTGGAGTCCTAAATACTTGTAGAACTCGCCCTCTTCCATGAATTCAATAATGTCCCCATTTCCAAGTGCAAAATCTTCTTTCTTCAGAATTCCTTTTTCTATGTGAAGTTTTTTACATTTGTCTAAGCCAAACTCCATTTGTATGTCCTTAGTGTATGAGTGTGTGATTTGTAGGAGTTGATGAAGTTGTTTTTGTGTGGATGCATAAAGTTTTATGTCGTCCATGTACATGAGATGTGAGAGTGTAAACTGTGTTGTTTTTTCATGTCTGATATTGTAGCCATAATACGTGTTGTTTAACATGTTGGATAATGGGTTCAAGGCTAGGCAGAACCAGAGAGGACTCAAGGAATCTCCTTGAAAAATTCCTCGCCTAATGAATATCTTATTTGTTTGTATGGAAGTGTTACTAACCCTGAGATGCAATGTTGTTCTCCAGTGCTGCATAGTGTTTTTGAAGAATGCAATGAGCGATGGATGTATTTTGTACATGTGTAGAATATGTAGCAGCCAACTGTGTGGAACACTGTCGAATGCTTTTCTGTAGTCTATATATGCCATGTGTATGTTTCTGTGTTGTTTGTGTGCTTGCCGTAGAATGACTGAATCTATGAGTAACTGTTCTTTGCATCCC